GGAACATTTGTTTGCTGCCTCAGAAACACTGTACCTCTTCTGTGTTGAAATGTTAGCGATGAATTGACTCGAACTCACTGCTCTAAAAAAGAGTGGCATGGAAATCAGAGATTGAGTTTGGTTGGAAATTAGCAGCTGAGAGATAGAGGTGCCAGGATTTTTATTTAAATGTGGCACAACAAGATTCTGTCAGCAAAGCACATCATTAGAATATTGAGTTTGGAACTGCTAATTTTTCCTTTAAAATGAGCATACAGTCATGTGTTTCATGGACCATAATAAATTGCCATTGTGTTGTCACTGAGTTTGTTTTGATTTTTGTAACACGGGTTTGGCAGTCACTCTGCTTTTTCTCTTTCCCATTTCTCCCCGAGTCTTACATTTCCTTAATAGATCCCAAACCAAAACCAGCAGAAGGATGCTCCTACTTCCGTCTTCACTTTAGCATCCTCTGCAGTGTTTTCTTGCTTACGGTAGCGTAGCAAGACATTTGCAGATGGCTGTCAGTTACGATAAAGTACATAACAGTATCCCTTTGTGGCAGATGGATTTAAGACTTTTAGTTCTCAATAAATGTAGGTTTACAATACATAACTTTACAGGATTCGTGTTGTATATAACAGGTTTGAACATATTATCTCAGAATTCATCTGCATGGCATTTTCAGCTTATTCAGGGTCCATGCCAGTTTTCTGTTGTTTCTTTCTTTCTTTTTTTCTTTCTTTCCTTTTTTTAAGTAATAAGGAAGTGCTGTGATTGATAGCAACAGCTCAAGGCGTGATTTTTGAATAGAAACAAAGGGTTTGGAACAGAAGGTGTCAAATTAAACTTTGTCAGTTTGAAAAGTAGTAACATCCTGAAAGTTGTACTAATTTATTTACATGTGGCTACTGTTTATATTTTGCCCTCATTAGATGCAGTGTGATGTTGCTTGGCAAAATTGCTACATTTAAAGTTTAGGGTTTTGTTTTTTTTTTTTTTTTTTGGGGGGGTGCCATTTTAGTTTTCTGAGAATGAATTGGTCTCATTATTTGAAGGCTTGTTAGGTCACCATCTTTTGTACTGTTCAAAGAATTGTGATCTAATTTAATTTTGAAAGCAATTTTCTGATCCTTCTGCCTCTGGTTGTACACAGCACATCAAGTCTCAGAGACCTATCCTAAAAGGCTTATGCTCACATTTTACAACAAAGCACCATGACTCATTCTTATCTCTCTCCCCCTAAGCAGTGTGGTACTTCTGGGGAATTCTTGGTTTTATTTGTCAGATGTTAGCAGCATTCAGGCCTCTTCATCAGCTTTCCAAATGCATTCATTCTGACGTTTGGGGAACTGGTCTAAGAAAAGGTATTGGAGAATTAGAAGGCATTTCTATCCTCTCTAGTTCCTTTCTTGAACTCATAGATTACTGTCATGACTAATGGAGTGAAAAGCGATGGAATCTAAGGTAGTCACAGTACTAAAAGGTACTTAGTATAAAAGAGGTTAGTCATTTTTTTGCCAATCCTAGTTGGGCATATTGTGACAAAAGAAAAAAAAAGGTGTCAAAAATGTGTGTTTCCCATTAGTTAGAGATCACACAAGCACAACCTGCTTCCTTTCTTTCTCTCTTTCCTTCCTCTCTCCATTTCTCTCTCCCTTTCTTTCTCTCTCCCGCCATCGCCATCTCTCCCTCTCTCCTTCCTTCCTTCTTTCTTTCTGCCTTTCTTCTTTCCTTCTTTCTTCTTTCCTTTCTCTCTATCTCTCTTTCTTTTTTTTTCCCCTTTCTGAATACCCCTGTAGAGTTTTAACAGTTCCCAGATGCACCATCAAATATTTTTGTATGAAGCATCTGATTTCAGTCTCTTCAGACCCTCCTGTCTCTAAAAGGCTAGCGGAAACATGCTTCAACGCGGATTCATAGCATTATTTTTAGCTAAGAAATTAGAAGTATTATTTAAGGGCAGGGGTTAATAGCAAAGTACTGGAAGTGTTATGTTAGTCATGGGCAATTAATAAAAATAAGGATCTGTCTGGGAAGTGCAGAGATACAGAAGTGACAATATAGGCACAATGTTTGTTGAATGAGTCAGGGTTCTCTTTCTGAAATATTTGTTAAACCCACAGGAGTGTGATCATTTAGGAATTAGCTGTCATTATTAGCTGTTTTAAAAGAACTAATGATTTTCTTTTCCAAAGAACATCTGTGATCCACATGTTTTTCACTTATACCCAAGTGCCAAGTGATCTGTGCCTTACTAAGAAGTTTCTGAAGGATTTGAGACCATCAATGTTTCCAACACTCTCCAAGAAGCCTTTCTGACATGAATCATTCTTAATTTAACTTTGGGCAATTTTTAGCTACAAGCATTTATTTCTTAAAAAAAAAAAAATTAAAATGATAGCAGCTCAGTGTTTTTAGCACAGTACTCTGCCAGCCATGCTAGAAAGCCTTTTCTTTTCTGTTCTTCTCAAGCCTTCTCCCTTTTCCAGAAAGGCAAATAAGGCCAGTTTTCAGGCATCCAGGTTATGTCAGAGGTCGTAGCTGAAGGGTACAGGCAATGTAGTTAGGAAAGTGAGCTTAATCAGTTCACGCTCAAGCCTCCAGGGGTGATACGTATCTAAAACCTACCCAGCAAAAAAATAAAAAATTAAAAAAATGTAGAGACATGGCATAAGGAAATAGCTTGGCTCCAGGAAAAATAGAAGACATTTTTTATGATTTCCTCCAGATAGCAAGTGCTAACCCATAAGAAGCAAATAATATGTATCTCCAGGGGACCAGGTGTACAGGTGTGTCTCAAACATTTTAAATACTCAAGTGAAGCTTTGTAGCTGTAGTCTGTTCACAGGAGTAGAGCCCCCTCACAGCAGTGTGGAAATGAGCTGCTGTGGTGAGGTAAGCCCGCGCTCTGTCATCACAGTGGTCATTTGTGGTTTTTTCCTTCTGAGTGACTGTTCATTCAGGTTAACTCTTCAGTGTTCTGCCCTTTTCCATCTTGAATTGTGTGTTCAGTGGCATCAAATGAGAGCATTATCACATGAACATTCGTGTGTGTGTGTGTATACACAGTTGTGTGAGCATATATATTTCTCTCTAAATGCACATGATCATTTATTTGTGTGTGTTTGCTTATTTAAAAACAACTGTGAAAGTATCCAAACTTTCTTAGAGGCACTTGGCTGTCATGTTTAAGGCCCTGGGTTTTATACTGAGTCCTACAAACAAAAGAAAGCAACAACTAAACCTGCACAACTCACTCAGAATCATGAGCCAGTAGGAAGCTAATGTGCTGGTCCCCATCTTTTCTTTTGAATCTCTCAAACAGACCAATTCCGGGAGAAGAAGCCTTGTTTCTTTTTACCATTATCACAAATAGAAGTTCCTTTTGAATGGCTCATTCAGTTTGAAAAAGAGAAAAAAAAGCTATAAAATTCTCCGGTTTCACCTCCAAATAACATAAAAAGCAGAACCTCCCTGGATAGATAAAAATTTACATACTAGAGGTTCGGTGTCTAGTCTGTTCCTATCTGACTAGCTTCCTCGAGATTTCCAAGAAAGCCCTTCATTTTAGCCCAGTTTTCCCAGAGCAGAACCCCAAATATGGGCTAATGCCTGCAAGGAATAAGGGAGAACAGGGAAGGGCAAAGGATTGGGGGGCCTCAGTAGAGGCTTGTGGGAGGGAATAGAATAGGGATGGGTGTCTCTGGAGAGTGCACGGAAAAGGGAGGGCTGGCCACTTGACATGGGACAGGCTTTTTACTAGTTTGTGTGCCAACGACAGGTCACACTGGGGTGATGGGGCCACTGAGGTAGTGCCTTCCAAAGTGCTGAGGTGAGATTTCCCCGGTCAGGCTAACACACCGTGAGCGGGCAATGCAGTAGCCTGTGACCACGGCTGTCCTAGCTGGTGGGCTCCAGCTTGGTGCTCTCCCTCCCTCTTTCCCACCCCACTGCTTCTGGCCCAGTATAGTAGATAGGATGAAAGTTTGAGATAAGTAAGTGTCCTCTGTTGAACCATTCAGCCAATGAAAACTTTAGGATCCCACAGCGTCACGTTGGAGCCTAGACTGAGTTTGCCCTTCACTGTTTGATTTTTTTTGTCCTCTGACAAGTCATATACATTTGTTACAGCTGACATAAAAGCAGGACTCTGAAGTTTCCCTTGTGAAAGTTTCTTGTTGAGGAATTCTCCTAATGCCCATGGTAGTAAAGTCATAAAGCTAAACATGAACTCGCTAGCTTGTGCACACGCTCTCTCTCTTTCTGTGTGTCTGTCTGTCTTCCAGCTTCCTTTCTAAGAAAGTGTAAGCTTAGGAAAGCCTTTGAGGATAGTTTGTTTCTAAAACTGGTAGCCTGTGTGGCTCCTTCAGTGGCTCCTGGCCACTGGTGAGCGAGAAGGTTGGGCAGGAGTTAGGCCTGCTCTTGTTTTTGTTTCTATCCCATATCTCTTACCACGGTCTTGCTTTGGGGGTCTGGTAATGTCTGTCCTTACTTTCCTTCAGAGTGTGTGTATACCCTTGGGCGCACTTGCTTGTACATGCATATGTCCAGGCAGTGGTTGATGCCTGATTATTTTCCTTTACGGTTCTTTTTTTTTTTCATTTGAGTCAGAGTCTCTTATTGAACCTGGAACTCCCCATTTTGACTATACTGGCTGTTAAGCAAGCACCCAGTGTCTGTCTCCAGACCCCCATTCCTGGGGTGACAGGTAACAGGCTTTTATGTGAGTTCTTGGGATCCAAACTCAGATCTTCCCAGTTGCACAGTGAGCACTTATCTACTTAAGTCATCTCCGGATGTTTGCCTGTTGAGATGTAAATCTGAACATTAGTCAGGAACAGAGCCTGCTTCCTCCACAGCTACAGCTGTCCTCTCTTAACGGATTAAAAGAAAAAGAATATTAGCGCAGGTTAGAGTGTGATGAGTAGATGAAAAGGTAACTTCTGGCGTCTCCGTGTTAGCACCTCTGGAGGATTCCAGCCCTGCTGCTAACTGACCTGTTACCCTTTCCTCCTAAGGGATGGTTGTGTGAGCTGTTGCGCTGGAAAGAAGACCCTTCTCCAGAAAACAGGACCCTGTGGGAGAACCTGTCGATGATCCGGAGGTTCCTCAGTCTTCCCCAGCCTGAGCGCGATGCCATCTACGAGCAGGAGAGCAATGCTGTGCATCACCATGGCGACAGGCCACCCCACATCATCCATGTTCCAGCAGAACAGATTCAGGTTCGTTTACCTTGGCCAGCTCAGCACAGCACTAAAACAAACAAAGCCTTCAACTTAGCAGGGAAACTGGTGGTTCTCCTCTCCCTCAGTCTACACAGAGGCTTTCTTCAGGGGACAGGAACGGACTCCCATCTTGCCCAGGGGATAAGTCTTTCCGGCTGGTGCAGTCTCCTCACCCTATTGTGGCAGGAGCCCCCTTCTGGACTGCTACTTTAGTAAAGGTGTCCTGGTTAGCACTGGGTTTTGAGGGTGAAAGCTTAGAATATATCTTTTTGGTGTGTGTGTGTGTGTGTGTGTGTGTGTGTGTGTGTGTGTGTGTGTG